TAATTGCAATGCACACAGCGTGTATCTTAAATACCCCATTAAACGAATCCCACATCATAAATGTTAACCATTTTGTTTTTACAATGACAAAAAATGAAAAATATAGTTTAAAATAACTGAAAAACATGCTTTTAAATCATATCAAACTAAAAAGTTAAAAATAAGCTTAAAACAATAATGAACGAAAAATACTTATAGCGTGGGGGCCTTGTGCCATATTTTTTGTATATTGAGCGCCCCACGCTTTTTTTCACAATAATACTAGTATTTTTCGTTCATTATTGTTTTAAGCTTATTTTTAAAATTATTTTTAACTTTTTAGTTCGATATGATTTAAAAGCGTATTTTTCAGTTTTTTTAACCAATATTTATATTTTACTTTTTAGTTTTTATAACATCTCTGTCACAGTCACGGAGTGTTTATTGTAAATTATGACTATCAATAGATATAATTTCTGTATTACTAGTTAGTATGTTTAAAAACTCACAACAATGTGTCTTATGACCATTGATAATAACAATGCTGTGTACCTGCTAATATCGATGTCATAAAAAATCAATTAGCTACCTGTATTTGTACTTCCTTTTATATTATACATGTATATTAACTCAAAAAAAAAAATTGAATCTTTAAATGTTCATATCTAATAATAAACAATAAAAATTTGTTTATATATATATATACAATATTGATAATACACACGCTTGTACGGGTACGAAAACCAAAAATAAAATTATACAAGAATAGTGTTTGTCGGCGTGTGGTGAGCGGGGTGGGGTGAATGCGTTACGACAGTCTAGTCCAAGGCCATAGACGACGGGATACACTAGAATAATAACACGTGGCGCGTGGAGAGTTACAAACATACAAACATACAAATATATAAACATACATACAGTTGAAACTAATATAAGCATGTTGAAAAATATTTCCTATTTTGTTTTTAATGATAAGATAAAGCTAAAATGTAAGTACTACACGAATTTACAATAACTCAGCATGAATGTTCATTACATTATGAATGTTGAACCTACTTTTTATATGAACATTTGTTCTCATATTTTTTATAGGTGTAATTTGATGTTTTGATAAAATATATTTAAGTGAAAAACGTTCTTGATAAATTATTAATATTTATATCAAAATTATATTACAAGCGGAAAATAAAAAAATGACTTTAACAATGACTTTATGGAAATTCACTTATATTCAGAGTATTATAATTAAATTGTTGGTTATATTAGAGTTTTACAAATATACATATAGAGTGATTAGATAGCCATAAACCAATCGATTACACGCAAAATAAATATAATAATTGAAAAAAAAAATTTGATTTCTATTAGTTGAATACAATTCTTTATTCATCAACTAATAATTAATTTCAATAATAATGAATCACCCCTTATTACTTAAAGGAGTGTCAAGTTAATTTTTTTAAGTGGCAACATACAAACTTAACTAGCTTACATAATAGAATATAATCTAATTAAGAAAATGACTGGTCAATAACAACTTTTGGACTAGTATTTTGAAAGTTATTCTTATTTTAGCTTCGATGCGAAGCTGAGAAGGTATTGGTTTTACTATGATGTGTTTTTTTTTTTTTTTTTTTTTTTTTTTTTTTTTTTTACCA